AAAAACAAAATTATTATAACTGTTAATTTAATAGTGCAAGTAACGCACAGTTGTTTAATATCAAATATACAGCACACTATTTCTCTAACCTATGTCTGCCTTACGTCTTCAGATATGTAAGCAACAAAAGTTATTTGATACAGTTTTCATATTGAACAAGTGCTTTGCGGGGAATTTAGAAGACTTAAGGATTGTAGCTGCAGAATTTACGAGGCAGAATCTCAGAAAAGAGTCTCCCATTAAAATAAAAAAAACTTTGCTTTACTCTATGTTATCATGAACAAATTGATTCAAGGAGCCATTTCTGTCCAAAGCCGGTCTCGATACGTCTGTAAGGACTCCGGTATTCTTGCAGAGAAAGTTAGATGCACCATATGCGCATGTGGTGTGAAAATTACAGAATCCGACAGAACTTTCTAATGAGTGTCAGCAGCTGCTCCAGGGCTCTGCTCTCACTGCTCTCAGTCCCCAGCACTTTTTCTGGCTGTTGCCAAGCATGCAGGCACAACAGTCTAACAACAACAGACCTCCGGTGGGCCAGTGCTGCCCTGTTCCTGAAACACTCTTCCGCTCGTCGTCCTAGATGCTTAAATATCACAATGCCCTTAATACACCTGATCTTCTGATCATTTACTGGGATTTACCAAAATGCTGTTAGTTAGGCACTGCTTCCATTTTTAAACCTAAACCATGAGTAGCGCTGTCATGTCACTCATTCCTGGAAGATCAGACAAAGCAAAGGCAAGATTCCGATCAACGTCGTCACATTTTTTGCATTGCTTCGTTTGTCTTAAAAAGAAAATGGAAATGCTAGTAAACACTTTGATTATCGGTTTAAATTAAATTGTTATAGGACTTTTCTGAGCGCTCAGTAAAATCACCAGGGAAGGGCAATAAGCACTGAAAACACTTTCAATGCTGCAAATCACAGAGATGCAAGCCCTTTACGACAAAGCCGTACTCTCCCTCTTCAAACCCAGGAACCAGCTGGTTGGATAAATTCTTGTTAGCAGTGTACACATTTTTTCAAATTTATTGCACAACTATTTCCTTTCAGCCGATGTTCTCGGTGAGTAAAACTAGAGGCACGTTTTACCTCGAAAAGCTAGTTTTTCACTTGAAATCTAGAATCAGAGCCAGCCCCAACAGAAAAGTTTAGTCTGCATATGTGCTGGAATTTACCACAACCGTCTCTCGCAGTAATCTGCAGTAATCGCTTTTTAACAAACATTATGATGTCTAAAGAGGTCATGATTAAAACGAAACATTCTGTGACATACAGACACTTTGCTAATTAACAGTTTCTGCCACAAGGCTACCTACAATCACATTTTAAAAGCTATCTAATACTTTGTTATCCATTGGCCTCTCTAGAGTTGGAACTCCCTGTTCCTCAGTCCCTGAGGTACAACAGAAACAGTACCAATGTCAGCTCTCAACACCAAGGGCTGTGGACTCAACAAAGAAGGATTTTGCACTCTTTCGGGATCCATCTCATCAAATTGCTGACCACATCTACTGTAGGTACGATTCATGACTTGAACAGTAACACCAATGCTAGCACATCAAATTCATTATTTTGATTACCAGCATTGTACAGACGTCACACAACTGTGAGACAGCACAAAGAAAATGATAAACACACAGCAGGAAAGGGATCACTGCCCAGCCTTTAGAAACAGGCATCACAGCCTTTACAGTGAGATTATGAGACTGATATGGTCAAGTAACAAACTAAACTACTGTGAAATATTAATTAAAACAAACGTTTGTGATTATATGTGACTATCATCCTCATCAGACATTGCGCTGCTTGCCTCTGCACCTTTTCAACCTTAAAACGATACATTATAGAACATTTAAGTTGCTACAATCTCTGAAAGTTATCTGATTTCTATGCAAATTACGTCTTTGTACAGTACATGCAAGTGTAATAGGGCTCAGTGTACCAAGCCAGTTATAGAAGTGATGTCACCCCTCTCTGAAATCTAGACAGTGTAAAACTCGCAGTCGTTTTTTGGGCTAGTGGACTTATCCACTGTCCATGGAGTGGCACTGTGTGTGCTTGGAGCCTGAGAATGACAGGGATCGAATCCCAGCAGAGGCAGGGAGAGCTGCTTTCATCACACCAAGAGCCACTGCTGTATGAATCTTTCAAAAATCAATGGCACATGCCCTCAACAAATTGAGTGAATAACTAAACTAATGCAAGCTGTGGCCAGGAAAGATGACCAGTACTATTCAAAAAGTAAAACAGCTATTAAAAGGCCAAAGATGACATCGTCCTTACTGCATTCCAGTAGAGAGGTCAGACCTAGGATCACCACTGCTTATCTCCAACAGGGGTTACTCTTATTATGGTCCATCCCTGACAACGTTGTTAGAGCATTGACTGGCCACCCCTCAATCTGAAAGAATGCATGCTGCTTCAGTGAAAAAGAGGTCTTGCAATCAGTCATCCATGTATTAAAACATCCCTGCTTGGAAGGACAAGGAATCAGCACCCCAAGGTCACACACAGAGAAGACTCCTTGAGTGGAGAAGGAAGGTTAGGCCAACGACTAATTTTTTTGGACTGAAACCTTTATTTGAAGCCACATATATCTGCGTGCATTTACACAGATGGGAGCTTCACAGGAACAGTCAGGACGTAATACAACTGAAATACGTTGTAATGCAGCTGTGTCTCACCTGGGATTTGAACACATAACCTTTCAGTTTGAGGTGCAGATCCTTGACAACTGCTGCCCCACTAGGCGGGGTTTGGAGAAAGTTGGCCCCTGGTCCGTTTCTTCTATTTCAACAACGAGCCACACAAACCCTTCTGCTAGACACAAGCTACTCTAGACACACCTCCTCCCAGACAGACTTTACAGATGGGTAACAGTGGTAGCAAAATGCTGCCACGTATTTATAAACAGCCTACAAAACTGGAGGCTTGTTATCTTTTCCGATATTCTTAGCAAAAGATACCACATAAAAAGATCATAATCAGATCCCATGTCAGATCATTTGTACAGATGCTGCCGCTGTTGTGTTACTTTTAGCTCTTGTCTCTTCAAAATATGTTGTCCCTGTCTATTTTTCAAAAGGCGATTTTCTGTAAATCAAAGCGGCCTCGATTCTCGTTTAAAAAAACTAAAGCTAAATGTGCAGGCCTCTTTCTGTCTTCCCCGCTTAACCTCTTCTGTTACAACCTGTAGGTGTGAGTTTCAGTAGGATTCCGTCTTTTAATATGCAGCTTGCCCATCCAGGTCATTAAAAGGTAATGAGGAATGGAGACTAAACATTTGTACCTTAGCCTCCAAGGGCTTCGGTGAGAGACATATTAACACACCTCTCCCACCACCCTCATAAAACAGAGAAGCTTTTCCTCTTAGCGTTTATTTGCAGGAGAATTTTAAAATTTAGGTCTTAGAAGTGCTGTGTGCCTAAATGCACATCTTACATAAATTCCCTTATGTTGCTTCATATAAACTTTAATAGAAAATCCCTTAAATCTGCACTTCAATAAAAGGCATTGTGTGATAAAATGGAATTCAATTTTAAAAACAAGCATGGGTTTCTGTTCAATACACAGTCTATGAAATAAACACGCAAACTGCCATTCACTCAAATTGCTTTGGTTCCAAGAAATATTTTTTTTTGCAATATAAATATTATTTCTGTGATATTTGGTGAACTACATTCAAAAACAAAGCAATGCTTTTAGAAAACGAATTCTTTGGAATCTAAAGTGCCACGTTAATAATTTCAGGAATATGGGTTAAAAATTGACTATATACAGAAAATGCCTTATCTTACTTGTGTCATAATGCACTGCTAGCACCACACTGTACAAACAGAGAAGATTATTTGTGCAAGACTGAGCAAGTGTTAGCTTAACATATTATGATGGCTGGGCAAAGTTCTGGTGACATGAAATATCAGTTAACATACATAGTTTACATACTGTAGGTTTTCTTTTCTAATCCATACCTGTCATACTGTGATATAATTCTGACAAAGTGGTTTTGCCCACAGAATTCAATATATCATTCTGAAGGTTAAACTCAAAACATACACTATGAGGAAATTTCGCACAAGGCTACTTTAAAGCATATCCATGTGATTCCTTCAGGCGCTGAAACCATCTCAACAAAAAGAAATCGACCATTGATATACAAGTTATATATGGATAATTTCCAAATAAAGGGGGCAGGAAAAATATTAATTAAAAAAACAGACAGCTGCAGGGTCACTCTTTCCCATTAACTTACATATTCACAGGCTAATGCAATGCAGGATTCTTGTCATATTTTAAGACTAAAGTCTGGCGAAAGAGTAAAAGTATGAAAGGCGTTTTTAAGATTTTGCAACAAATAAAACATTTAATTGAACTGACAAAGGAGCTATCCCACATTTAGTGTAAAAAACAAATTTCCCAGTTGTGACAGCCCAAAAACACAATGGTAGGAAAAGAAATCTCTAGGTATGAAAAACATTAAGCTAATTTCAGATTTGTAATATTGTTATATGTTTATTATTGTTTTACTCCACAATAAAAGATCGTGAATCAACGTGTGTGGCTATTACTCTTAGAAATCACTGGTTTTTATCAATTTTCCAGTCAAAAGAGGAAGGCCTCCTTTATCATCCAGGATTCCAAACCTTTTATTTCCAGGAGCAAACACACACACCGCTTGTTTAAAGAGGGAATAAAGCTGCCTGTTTTTTGTAAGAGGGGTATACGAGGAAAAACAACATTTCCTGCGTTTCCAGAGTCGGGCTTCCGAACAACTATATTTAAAATAAAATGACACCAGAACGCAATATCAATGTCTCCATCATTTGTCCCCAGAGATGGAGGTGGCAGTATTTACGGAAGGTTGAAGAAGTTGAATAATTTGCGTTTGTTACATACTGTAGATTGACGACCCCCACCACCCCCCACTCCCCACCCCACCTCCTCCCAAAAAGGAACATGGGGAATACACCTTCAAAATGACCGCGCGAGTTACCTTGTGTTTGATGTTGCAGTGACAGCACACAGTCCACAGGTACTTGAGAGTCCTCCAGAGAAGGATGATGAAGAGACCCCCGAAGAAAGTCACCATGGAGGAGGCGAGAAAAGCCCACCACATGCGCTGCCCATTGCTATCACAGGGCACGTCTGCGGAGTAAGGGATGATCACTGCATCCATCTTGGACATGTACACCGAGGACGAGTCCGGATTGATATTATTATTGATATTGTTACTCATACTGCTGCTGATGCCTTCAGAGACGTTGCCATCTGCCATAGCTAGCATCCAGAGGCTTTGGCGAGCTCCTCTCGGCACCCCCAACCCCACTCACCAGCCATATTGCTTCAGATATCCTCTTCCCTTCTCAGGATTTCTTTTGCCCCTGTTTTGTTCTAGACCTATCGATTTCCCCTAAAACCTGTGACGCACAGGCGAGCCCCACTTCAAAGCCCGTATATCAAGTCTCTTTCCCTCTGCAAAACGCATTTAAACTCACCCTAATGACGCCTATATGTTTTCGTTTTAAGTCAAGTCGGGCATTTTCCAAACCTTCAGGAGCAATTCCATGTCAGAGAAATCTTCATTTCGCAGCCGTCGCTGCTGCCCAGCTTGTTTTTTTGTGGACTGCTGTGGCTTCTGTATAGTGCTGAAGACAAAGTATATATTTATAAACAGCACTTCAAGCGGCTTGCTTGAGACCTAGCTTTCTTCCATCGAGGCAACAGAGCGCTTGACTGTAAACGATTTCGGTTGCGTAAACACTGCCTTGTCGACAGCCTTCGGGGTTTTCAACGGGGTGAAGATCTCTCGCGTCTGTAGCTGCGCTCCTCGCTGTTGCAGAAACTGGGGCTGAAGAGCGTTTCCCCCCTCCGCAAAGACCGCTCTAGTGTTGATACTGGCGTTCCCATTCACCACCTTCCTCTCGGCCCGTACAGCGCCCAGCTGATCCAGGCTGTCAGATCTGCTGGAAAGATAGCCAGGGGGGATTTACAGGTATCAAGGCGGAGCCAAGCTCGAATAATAGAGATGGACAGACGGCCGGGGATGTTTATTCCAGCAAGCCACTGCTGCTATCTGGAGATCGCTGCGTCCTTGCAATGCGAAGGGCGCGTTCTGGTTTTTACTATTAAAATGGCTTTACGTGCTACGCCGTGTTCTCGTATTCCCTCTACATTCGAGACAACGGTTCGGTGTAATGAGATTTATTTTCAATATTAACGTTTTTCAATCTTACCTTACGGCAGATCTCAGTGACTGGAATACAAAATACAGCAGCTGTACCGCTTTCTAAAGGCGCTGCGGTATCTGTCACATAATCTACAGCTCTCAATAAATGTCTGCAGTCCTATCTGTATGCTGAAAGCGGTACAGGGTTATAAGCGCTTTCATTGGGGTGCTGTCCGGGGAGAAAGAAATTATAATAGTCATAATAACGCATTTTCCGTCGCCGAAAATTTCCAGTGAAAATGGAGACGGGCTGTGTTTTTACAGAAGTGTTTTTTTCAGTAACCTTTTCTTCCACGCTGGCTGAGCACTCAACACTCCACCCACGGAAGGGAAGCCGGTTTTGTGCACTTAAACTTGGAAACCTGTTGAGTGCCCGTAATAGTTTTCGTTTCGAAACTGGTGAAGTTTTTGTACACAAGATAATTGTAATATTCTTAGGCTTATTGTAATTTTGAAAATATATTTTTTGGTGTACCGGTCATTGATAAGGATGATGGTATAGTCAAATCGCCCATAAATATCCATAAAAGATCATTTTTCCCTAGTGTTGGTGACAAATGATAATCTGCTAGACAGTATACGCGTCCGTCCTTTCTATGCAATTGTTAGCCTCCTGAGATACAGGTATCAGTACCAAATGATGGTTAAGAGATAGGACACAGTAACCCACTTTTAAATTAAAATTAGAATAGGGGAACTGCGTTTAGGCGATGCAAGAATCTAGCGCTACAGTACCTGGAAGGTCTGCTGCCATTTTGTACCACCAAGGGCCCGCTGCGTTTGTGTGAACCGTAATAGCTACACCATAACAGATCTGACAGTCCGGCAAACGCCGGTCTGTCGCAGAGATGTGAAGAAAAATGTCGTATCTATCTGAGCAAGGTCCGGTTTCACAGTCTGTGCCGGAATTGGTGTTGATACTATAAACGTATTTCTGGATGACGGGAGAAGGCAGGGAGTAATTAATAACCTACGGATGACCTACAGTATCGTTATCTATAGATCAGTCTGTAGAGGTCTATAGAACATATTAAGGTAACATATACACTACCTATAAAATTCAATAGAACCTGTTAAAACAACTTATAGATTATCTATAGATTTATGTAGAAAAGACCCAGCTCTCTATAGAAACCTTTAGGCCACTTGCACAAGAGTAAAAAAGCCATCTTTAAGGATGCAAACTCCTGGCAGTGTGAATTAAAGGTTTTCTCCACTTTTTTATAATTCTTATCAATCTCTCAAGCCAAATAAAGTGGTTTTCAAATTAGGTGAACAGATGGTTTTAATATCTCTACCCTTTGACTTAATGATGGGCTCAGTTTAAATTCTGGTTTAACAGCTACGGGCAGATATATAGCTGTATGAATAGATAATTGCTTACACTTCCATAGCACTTTTCTGGACACTCCACTCAAAGTTCTTTATAGGTAATGGGAACTCGCCTTCTCCACCACTAATGTGCAGCCCCACCTGGATGATGCGATGGCAGCCATAGTGCACCAGAACGCTCACCACACATCAGCTATCAGTGAGGAAGAGAGCAGAGTAATGAAGCCAATTCATAGATGGGGATTATTAGAAGGCCATGATTGGCAAGGGCCAATGGGAAATTAGGACAGGACGCCAGGATTTTTAATGACCACAGAGAGTTAGGACCTTGGTTTACGTTTCAACCGAAGGATGGCGCCTTTTTACAGTATAGTGTTCCCGTCGCTGTATTGGGGCATTAGGACCCACAGAGACCGAAGAGTGAGAACCCTCTACCGGATTTACTAATACCTCTTCCAGCAGCAACCTTAGTGTTTCCCAGATCTCCCATCCAAGTACTGGCCAGGCTCACACCTGCGGCGCTTCAGTGCGTTGCCAGTTGTGAGTTGCAAGGAGATATGGCTTCCGGATGAAATATATAGATATTATGTACATCACCGATGTCCACTACATTAATATACTATACTATTTAAATACTCATTTAAAACGCTAACAGTTTATTCTTAAAGTTACGACAGTTAATTAGGCTTTACTTTGAATGAAATGCGTAGTTAAATCAGCGGTGTTTACAAAAATTGATTTTTGCCTATTCGTTGCTTTAACGAGCAAAGTTTTAAATACAAAGAAGTTACACAAATAAAAGTACCGCATGCGGTAAATATTTTATTGCGGCATTTTAAAAGCAACATTTGAGTGCAGCAGCGTTGTCGCTGTCGTCGTTAAAAACGAGGCAAATTAAGGTCTGATCACAAAAAGCTTTTTAAAAGGGAGGCGATGGTGCTTTTTTCTCCTTAATTATTCATAGTGGTGAGCTAATTCGACGACAGATGCAGCTGCGAAAACTCGACTTGGTGCAGTAGTTGTTTGAGCACATGGAAACTTTTTTTTCGCCACCTGGTGGATGTTATCGGTGTAGCAAACTGACAGGAAAAACAAGGCCGTCAGGGGCGAGGCAGAACGTCCTACATTTGTTTCGCAGAAAAGAAGAACAAGGGGAAGAATTGACTAGGAAAGACATACTGATAAGTTAATATCCGTCTTTATTCATTCCTATTTTTCCTACGTAAGGTACTTTTTAATTTGAGGAAAATCAGAACCATGTATTTGTAACGATAAACATGGCTTGTATTACACGTTTCATGTTAGTAGTTGCCGTTATTCAATAAAAAAAAAAGATTTGAATAATTTTGGTTTTAACACATTAACGTTCTGGGTGGAATGTAAGGACAAACACCTTGAAACAAAGCCACTATCCAAAACATTACATATTATATTGAGCAGAACAGTGGTAACAGGATTAACAGGAGCACAGCCGTAGAGGTATCCAGCAGTATTGGCTCTGCAGGTGACGTTCCCAGCCTTTGCTTGAAAGGGTTCCCGATTCGCAACTTCCTGGGGGGCTGTGACGAGGAGGGGCAGGTGGGCTTTCACAGCAGCAGGAAGAATCACGGGAACAGGGCTGACAAGAGGCGGCCATTCATAGGCGAATGTTGTCGGGGAGCTGGTAGCTCGGTGATCTGCTGCTTGGACGAAGCCAGCGCGGCAGCTTGGGCATGATGGACAGGGAGTTTGTCTCAGACCTGCCACTGGAACATTGAGGGTAAGACTGTAAGGGCATACCACTGCTCAGCATTTAGTCCTTGAAAGGAATGCTACGGGGTCTTCACTTCAGCTAGTTGCATGAAATGGGATGCATTACTCTTTCTGGGAGGCTGTCAGCTGGCCTACGGTTCTGGCTACAGACTGGGTCAGAATATCTGGCTTCTAGACACCGAGGGGCAGAATGACACAAGGACATGCCAGTGTCCCATTGGCATGACGTCACTGAAGGGGTGTTTCCCAAGTGTAGATGACCGCATTCCTTTCCAGAGAGCCAGGGTTACGAAGACAAACCAACACTAAATTATTTTATGTCCCGGTTGTAAACTGGGTATAGTGACATCAAGCACACTCAGATTAGACTTCCACAATGTTACTGGTAGCAACAGGATCATGCATGATGATTTTCTAGGAAAACAAAACTACAGCAGCTGTCAGTGAAACCTGAGGAACTATTTTACAACCACAGTGTTAAGTGCAGGGCATTGCTAAGGATGAAAAGCTTAATTTCTGGACCATAACTCATAGTCATTTGCAGCAAGTCATGGGACTTTAAGCAAGTGTGTAAAGATAAAAAGAATGTAGGCTATAGCAACTATTGCTACAGAAACAGCATTTTGCCAAGCTGCGAAAGGCTTCCAATGCTAACCTTACAGCAAAGACCGCCCTCACAGCAGACTCCCATCTGTTCAGAAGTTAAGACGGCCTGTCAGCAGCTGTCCTGAAACGAACACCTCAGCAAAGACATGATCCTCTTTAAGCACATTTAAGAGGAATTGTGGTGCTATACTGAAACAAGTTCGCCAATCTAGTGAGTGGAACACAAGGTGAAAACTCATTTGATGATTCATCTTCGCAAACCTTCCCATACAAGAACTGTTGAGACCTGATCAGATAATGAACTCTGAAATAGCTGGAAAGCATCTAATTACCAGAGCATGACAGATGTGTGTGACCACAGTTCAGTGCATGTATGTTGTTTGTAGTTGCGTGTAATGGGGTCTGGTGGCACTGAACATGTTACTGAAGTGATGTCACCCCTTAAAAAAATAAACGGCAATTTCTCCCTCAGTAGAAGACGCAGTTATTTGGCATGTCAAAACCCTTGACAGACCATCCTCTGAACCCTGACAATCAACACTTAATAATATATGCACCTATACAATATAAAAGTGCATACTTTTGATGACTCTGGCCCTGCTACAAACCCTTTTGGATGAGGAAATTTCCAGTTACTCGTTCAAAGCGGGAGGGTTTTTTTCTTTAGTTCCTGTAGTATATCCAATTGCAATAAAAGATTTAAAAACACCCATCTGTGAGTATTAGAACAATACTGGCATTGTGTTGGAGAAGAATAGAGGTCATCTGAAAGCCTGACAGCACACAGAGCCCTTAGCACTGGTGAACACACACCTCCAGAAATGATATTACTTCCTTGTGCACGGAGAAGGAACTGTATCTTCTGTCAAGACTTTGTTCTATTTCAGCATTTTTGGAAAATCATTAATATTTTGAAGTTGTAACATTTGCTGGTATCAGATATTTCCTGGGAGAAATTTCTCTAAAACTCATGAATTAAATTTGTAGCCGACAGCCTCAAGAAAGAGGGTTCAAGTAAGGTTAATTATCTGAACCTATGAAGGCAGTGTCCCCATCGGAACGCTTTTAGAGGAATTTGCTTTTCATCAGTGCACATTCAACCTGTGACAGGTTTCTCAAACACTATATTGATGTTCTCATCTAATTAACCTAGATTGTAAATCTTAGATTTGATTAAGTGAATTCTGTTGTCACATTTGCCACACACTTAACCAACAGGCACATTGTATACCCTATCTTATTTCATGTAGGTAGCATGTGGACAGCATTTAAGACTGAACCATTAATGTATTCATGGAGGCATTGCATTACAGTGAAATGACACAATGTGGATATGCCGAATATCCATATAGAGGAATTCAACCAGATGGGCTGTCATAAACTTAACACTTTACTCACTGATCACGAGTATACTGGTTTTAATTTGTGACAGTATCCATTTTAAAATCTTCAGCTCTAGCCTGCTTACCTCTCCTAAAAGCATATTTCTGTGCTGACCCACACTTAAGACAGAATGCATTGTTCACACTTGTCGACTCACTGTGACAGAAGACCAAACAGCAAAGGCACAACGAGGATTGTGAGCATTGTGTATATTGTAGATGCTGTATAATTTTGAGGTGAACCTGAAGCACCCTCATCTAAAAAGATTTTATAAATTTTAGTAACACAGAAGCAAAACACAGACCTTTTCAGTCTGGAAATATTACTGTTGAAATTACTCAAATGAATAGATTTAGCCGTTTTAAAGCAAATAGGTTTCCCTTTATCTGGAAGCAGGATCACCCATTTTCACACACCTATCCTTTCAGTGTCAGCAGGAAGAAGTGTGAATCTGCAGCTTCAGGCTACATTGGCCAGTACTTTAGATCGGATCTGCACCATAACAGGAGGCACATTCTATTGAAGCTCAGCCTGGCTATTCTATGGCCCATGGTTACAGTAACTTCACTGATAGGAGCTGTAATGAAGGTTTTAGAGATTCATCTCCAGCTGAAACTTTTACAGGATGAGAAGACTTGGATCTAGACTGACTGTTCACCTTGACAAGATCGAGAGATTAATGAGGTCGTACATCTGTATTTGTTAGGAACAGGCAATCATCTGTCACGGATCCCATTCATCTTGGAAGCACTCAGAACAATTTTGGAGTGAAGTGTTAACTTTAAGTCTGGTTCCTTTTTCATAAGATTCCAATCACATCCACATTTAAAAAATCAGATTATAACATGTATTTGATGGTTTAATTAATGAAAAGGTACTGAACAATTCCTAATCCTCAAAACACCATTTGCATTTAGTCAAACATCACTGTATAACACCACAGATCTCATCCTTCTTAACTGATCTCATGTGTCACACTCTTTTTGGGGCACTGCACAGCACAACAAGGCTAGAAGTCTTATGTCTGCTGTCTCACACATGATACTTCACATTGACTGTATGTAGCAAGAATCATTGGGAAACGTTTTTCACCTGGTGGGAAAGGTGAAACTCGGGAACAAAAATCCCTTCCAGGTCTTTGGCAACACTTTCTGCCGAAAACACCATTCGCATGACATTACAGCAAGAAAGCGGGGGGTTTCGGATTCCAAGCCTAGCCCAGTCAAAGCCACACACTTAACCTTATCTTGTACACGCATTAAGGACGCAAAAAAGTAACAAAATCAGGAATCAAAACTAAACACTTCCTGTCTGCAGCCCTGAACGAAACTTGTGTCCTCTCCAAAAGGAAACCTGCAAAAAAGCGGAAGTTTCCAAGAGGTCTGGTGTGAGCGGACATGGAGCAGGGAGCACTGCTCTTCCTCCAGCGCTCTGTACTCTGGGTAAAAGCAGCACCAGCCTGTCCCTTCTGTCCGCTTCAGACTGCCATCGACATGCAAGTCTCACAGCCACCCCGCGCCCATGAAACCCCAGTTTGAAGACGTACCTTCTACTTGGCACATCTGCCTCCTCCAGTCAGTCTTTGTTGGCTTGCGGAGCTGTATTCAGACATCAGGACCCCCCTGCTGAATCAGCTTCTTCAGTGCATTACCTCCCATACGTGCTTGGTGCCCCCATCTCAGTGATTAAAAAACTGCCTTTACACTATTATTTGGCACTAAAAGTCAGTTGTTGCTCAGCCTAAAAAATCTGGAACATCATGAGATGGCTTCATCCCCAGGTATTCGGCATCTGCACCGGTAATGCGCTTTGCTCCTTTCATTGCCAAGCTCTTAATAAACGACAACTTTAATTGCTTCAAGAAATTAAAAATGAAAACATTTGTATTCAGATTACAAATTAATTCAAATTAAAAGAGCTCCTGAGAACCTTAGCTTCAAGAACAATTGTCCCCACTATAATTATTCTGCAAATCCATTGTTGCAAGCTTAATTTATTTGCACCTTCACAAAATTAAACTGTGTACATATGTGGAACAAAAGCACAGTCATATAACACAACTCATTTATCCAGAATGCAGTGTTACACAAGACCTTGATGAGGTATCCTAAATCTGTATTTCTTCAAAATCTAAGTGTTCTCCCGTTTTCTCCCCTGTGACTAGGATGCCCGATGTAGAGAAATGTTTTCGTCTATGGCTCATAGCCTCAGAAACCACAATACCAAGACCCAAACATCAGCATTAGATTTTAAGGTACAGAAAAAATTACTTTTATTTTCATATTAATCAATTTCTTAACATTTGATACAAATCATATACTTTAATAAAGAAAATCCCAATCAGAACAGTACCTGTCTGTTTCAGCCGCTTGACCTTTAGTCTAAATCCGACCGTGCCTATAAAAACGTTCTCTCTCACATGAAAAGTCTTATGCTAACAATCCAGCAAAATACCTCTGACATTAAATTTAATTACAAAATTTCTAATTTGTAACCCAACAGTCAAAGTTCAGGACCAATTTGTCTTTGAAAATCTGTGCAAGAAAACATCCCTTTTTGGAGAACACACACTGTGTTCTTCTTTCTGAAGTTACTCTAAGATTAAAGACAACTGCGTGCCGGCCAGTGAATGAAATGTTAGGAACAGTCATTGTGATATACTTGAATGGAGACTTGTTTGCACAGGATAACTATAGTACCTAAAATATGATACAAAAATTACAGAAATTCTAAATGCAACTGTTAAGGTTACACAGATTTACAAGTGCAAAACAAAAGCAAAACAAAGCTGACATACTGGAGTTTGGCACAACTTACATAAAAGATAAAAAACAAAAGCATTGCATTGAAGACTGAATGAATGACCATTTATCTGTGCCTCGTATTTGAATTAAAAAAACCCTTTTAAATAAATCTAAAGACACTAATACAGATTAAACAAAAACAAGCTTAAGAATTACCCTGCAAAATTGCACCAGGATGACATTTTTAAATAGATACATTTAAAAGTGACAAAAAACATGCTATACGTTTCTAAGAGCTCACTACCAAATGCTACACACTACTAGGCCCAATGCCTAGTTTTTAGTTTATTACACATTAAGATCAGATATATTATGGAGTTTAAATATTAGATCTGTAAGGAAAAAACATTTGACAGACAAAGGATTTATAAAACACACAGTGGTCTGTCCTGTACAGGAGTGCACTGAAAAGTTCTAATTTACGCCAGAGGTGAGCCCAGCCACATGGTCACCCTGCTACTAAATGTTCAGTCAATGTCCAAGGCACTTCCACATAGCCAGTACACTGTTCATTCACATGCAACAACTTCACCCCTGTCAAGAGAGGTTGCTTCATCAGAAAAAAAGGGAAAAAACATTCAAGTAAACATTAAATAACAATACTCAGAAAACAATTGTAAACGAGTGTTTTTTTTTTTAAATCGAAGCATCACTAATGTTAAACTTTTCTTACAGAAAAAAAAATAGCAATCAGTGCTGTACCAATCCTATTCCCACAGTGAAGTGTAACTGTTAAGCTTCCGTGTTACAGGTTCTACCAGTTTTAGACACAAGATGCAGACAGAAGTGAATTACTTGCTATTTAAACAGAGTTCAGTGTATTGTACCCCCTTCACTGATTTATCTTTAAAGTTTTCATGCAGCCGCACAGACCAAGAACACAAGCATTGGCGTCTGGTTGGAATATCTAGAGAGGTCCAGCTGGAATCCACAGGACTTTATTCTGTTCTTGATCAACAATGGTCATGATCTGAGTGCAAATGTAAGCCAAGCTGCCTCCCTGGACAATACCTACAAAATGTAAGATCAACGTTAAAAACTACAATAAGAATAAGGTTAATAAGTAATAAGAGTAATTCGTTGTTGTAGTCCCTTGTACATATTTATAACTGTACAATTTGGGGGAAAAAAAACCCACCTGTAAAGAATTTGCTGTACTCCTGCTCTGTTTTCTGTGCAACCTCAAACTGTTCCTTGGAATGTTTTTGAGAAACTTTATCCCGCAGAAATACTGGATCCTTCTGTTCCCTAAAACAGAAGAAAGTATATAGTTTAAAAAACATTTTCCACAGACGGGAACGTTTGCTAAATAAGTTCCTGTAAGTGATCACCTTCTGACAAACAGAGCAGTAAAACTCTGTTCTGTCATTATTAAGCGCAGGGGAAGGGTGGCTGCAATACTAGGGTATACTCCCGTCTGTTTAAAATAAAAACACACCAATTTTCAGCACTCCAAAGCGGGCAACTGTAAAGAACGGATGCGTGGAGGACACGGAGAGCTACAGCTGTGGGCCGTCAGTATTCACTGGAAAAATCACCAAACCCTAGAGAGCACAGGGGCTCCACATGCCAGCGGTTGACTCTGCCTGCACTTTCTCACCATAGAGGTTAAAGTATCATAATATGGGAATGTTACGAAATGTTGAAAGGGAACAGGAAAATGTTTTTTGAAAATACAGGGGACGGGCGCTTCACAGCTCATCCTCGCACTTAAAAGGGAGCAGTGATATTCAAGTCGCCAGGACAGCTGGCGCTCCGCTGACGAGGATGAGCCCGGCTTAGTCCTGGAAAAATTCCCTGGGCAAAACACGGACACATCAACACGTACAGCCGCAGCAAAGCAGTGGGTCCCAATTAATGGCAGTAATCCAGCCCCCCCCAATGAAACCTCAGACATAAGAGATCTTTTCTAGCATCTACCCTCAGTTAATCGCAATTATCCTGCAACAGCCCAAAGAGGTCACGGAATTTTAATTACAATTTCATTTTTATGGATATTGTTCTCGAGAGGAGAAAAGATGGAGCAAAGCGTCCTGAATATTCTTCCCATACAGACTGGCTTTTTAAATAGAAGCTATCACTATGAGGTCTGGGAAGAACAAGGCAATGGGGTAGGAGTGGGTGAAGAGCTTAAGAAGTGCCTGGAAAATGATCATTAATTCATCACAATGTTTTAAGAACACAGTATTCACTACAGTCAAGGAACACTCTTTATAGTCGGATATCGCCACAAATGATAGCGACTTTACAAAGAACTTATTCCCATGGATGCTGGTTTTATGCTTAAATTGCATATTTAATATTTTTATATTAATACATAAAGAAGTCGAACCAGAACTAAATCATGTCCTCCCAAAATATTAAGTTTCTTGACAGAGAGAGTAGTGGATTGTGCTGTAAACCGTACATTATGCAGTTAGACTGCTGCAATGAGGAATTTTTCTCCATCTGATAGGTGAAATAACATATCGATCGATATAAACACTTTAGTGGTTGAAATATTCACATTGCCTAGTTATTCACCATGGACTGGACGTCACCTGCATTTTCCCTTCTGTGAGACAAGATCAACACTTGCTGTTACACAAGCAATTACATGCATTACATACATCACTTAAATGAAGCTCTGAAGTCATTCCTACTGCTATACATTACTCCACAACATCTAGACCCTCAAACTCTAAGTCTAAGTCTAAAATAAAAAAAAAAAAAACTTATGAAAGGTCAAAGAACAACACAGTCTGGCACTGATGGATATGAGTGCATTAGAAATCTTGATGATTACCCCCTTAATAAAAGACTCCTTTCATAGAAATTACTTTAAGGGGAACCACGGTACCAAGGTTATTCTAATCAAGAGAACTCCTATTAATAAGCTACAAAATTCCCACTAACAAATGTTTTTTGTAAAAATATACGGCTACTTACTTTATCTGCTTTGCGTTTTTGTAGCGAATGAAAATGACGATTGGGTAAATGTGAACGCTGTGAAGCCTTTCAATGGCGTGAGGAGCAATGTCAAGCAAACAGTGACAATCCTATGAAAGAACAAAATGGTAACATTTCCAGCTGTTTTCCCCCATGAGAAATGAATGAAAGAACACAGGAAAACGTCATTTCAACACACCTCATGATCTTACTAACAGCAACACAGAATGCCACCCTCCAAAACAGAACCTTAAAATGGATGTACTGCAGAGTATTTCAAGTCTTTAATTTTCAAAGATTTACTGAAGTTGAACTATAAAAGAACAACAGCACGTTCCTTTAAATTAATTTGAAAGCTAGATGAATTCTGCTTTCAGAAACTGTCCTTTTATACTTTGCACCAAACATACTTTCAAAATATTACCAGAATGGTTATCTACCTTATCTGTTATTTCCTTTATAGAGGCAACAGTCGTCACATCAAAATGTCCACTGCGTCTCTTATAGTCGATGAACAGGCAATCTTTCACACCACGTTCTATTGCTTGTTGAGAAGCTTTCATCACTTCTAAAATGATAAGAACAAAAAAAGTTAATGTAAAAAGGAGATCAATAAATATTTATTGAGTGAGATCTTTACCAGCAGCAATTTCACTTGTCAGTAAATAATTTTATTTCACAGTAGACTACCATGTCCATCAGATGAAGAAGTTTGTGAAACATTCCATGCCATTCACATGTTATATGATTCAGGATTTTAGCTTTTTGCAAGATGTCTGGACAATAATGAAGGAGAACTGGAAAAAAAGGTCTTATTTTCTCATGAATGTAAGATGAGATCAAAAAGAAACAAAAACAGGTATACAAGAGGTGTAGGTATACAGGTATACAATTTTCACTAGAAAGAAGCTTTTAGCATCTTCAGAAATGACTCGTAGAGAAAGAGTAGATACACAATAACCAAAACAGCAACAAGGGAAGGTTTATATTTAACCACTCACCAAGCAGGCATCGGCAAAACTTCCCTGGAGACTCTTTCACCAGCATGTCCTTCACCGCATCTACCAGCGGCCCCAGGATAAGCACTGGTCTGGGAGATGTGCACTCAACCTTCTGCACCCTCTGATAGGCCAGACTTACACAATCTGATAACATACAAAAGCCCTTATACAAATGTATGCGCTTTATGGGTTGCATTAATATGACATCTCGTCAACAAAGGAAACAAGCCAGAAGAGTAATCATAATCTTCAACAGGATGTGAACTAACATTGTCTGCTTAACATGAAAGTACAAGCTACCAAGGGACCAAAGCCCTTTAGCTCATTACCATCCACCACCATGTTATTTTTCACAGAATGCCTATGATTTTCTGCAACACCTCCGTGCATGTCGAGTAATAGTCCTTTACTCCTGGGTCTTGTTTGTGAAAGAAACGCACGCGTGCCTTGTTAACTGAAGTGCAACATTACCAATTCAATTAAGAACACTCACCCTCCAAGAAAGGAATCGAGTCTGTGCTAATGGCATCGAGGGCTAACAGGTCCTTCCCGTCTTTGGAACCGCTGCGCTTGTGTTTGTGCTTGCGGCGAAAGAAGGATCTCCGAGCTGCTGCCGACAGCGTCCTGCTGGAGCCGCTGTCGTCTTTCATTTCCGACATGCTGTGCCGCCGGTAGAACTCCTGGTCCATCCTGCGCAGGGAGAAGTACAGGCCTCGATCACAACGTGGTCAAAGCTCATCAAGAGAATTTCAAGAGAAAAGCTCCACGGGTTGCACAGACACTTCAACAAGAAGTCTACAACGTGTTACTTCATGGCTTTGAAAGAAAAGCATCTGAGGAAGAGAGCAATGAGTGAGATGCCCAACACATGAGAGGAAAGAGGCTAAACAAGGAATCGACACAAAGTCACAAATTCAGACAGAATTCAAAAGCCACAAATTCTAACAATGGCTTGACTCCTCTTCTGCCTTATAAGGCTAAAGGAACAATTAATACAAAATTAATTAATATGACAATTACTTTAATAAATTAGACTCACATGTATTTACTTGGAATTTGCCCTCTTTCAAGCTTTTGAGCATTTTCGTCAAGTTGCCAGGCCATCCAGTAGCCAAAATTGCCCTTTGGTAGAGTGTCGTCCACATAAAGAATGTCATCCTTTTTAAAACTTAAATCTTGTTCCATCTCAGCCACTCGATCGTAAAGTGCCCTGCAAGCAAAACCACCAGGTTTATTCTCTTCACCCTGCCTTCACGCAGAACTGTCCAGCTGCAAAAGCAGAATACTTCTGAGAAGGAAATATATTAATTTCTAACAGATGTGGATTATGGCACCAGAAGAATGACAAGCTGATTTGAGCAAAAGTGACTGCTTCAGCTGGAGTGCAAATAGCACAATATTTCAAATGGCTTATTACAGCTTTTAATGTTTTGGTCCAATCAATGAAACTCTCACTGATTCTCTACTGGGAATGTGACCAAATGAGAAATACGGCTTTTACACTCAATAGTAATAATAATATTATTCTTAATAGTAGTACCCCACCACCTGAATGCGCGCCACTGTTTTAACTTGAATTGACAGAAAAAAATCATTCCTGCTGCTCTTATAGGAGTTTTCTGTAAATGTAGGTGTCTACCTGATGTAGAATCCATCTCCAGCCATCTCTCTGATCCTATTGAACTCATCGATTCGGTACTGCACTTTCAGCGTGACCGAGTCTGCAGGCTTCAACAGTTCAAGGTAGGCCTCTTCCGCAGTTTTATTCTTCATCTGGAATGAATTGTACTGTTGGGGAATTAAAACAAGAACAAACTGCACCATTCTGAAGTGAATGGAAAACAATCGACTCTTTCCATGATAATTTGGAATTTATCTGAATCTAAACAGATCACAGTTATAAACGTTTTCAAACTGTTTCAATTGAATTATGTCCTAAAATGATAAGACTCCATGCACCGGACGTTTTCCACTTCCAACATGTATAACCCTTCACAATAGCGATGATAAATAACAACGGTTAAGTATGAGATCCCAGGAATATTATCAGTGACAGCTCCAATCTCCAGGGCGTACTCAGCTTCAGATCTCCATTAAAACCCTTGTAAAATATTACGAGTTATACTCATTTGTTTTGCGATATTTAAAAAGCATTTAATCTGAAACCATGAAGTTAGCATAAAGGCTGTAAATAAAACCACAAAAAAAGAGAGGAGATAATTCAGCCTGCATTCAAAGCATAAATATTTACAATTAAAAGGTTTTGTTTCCTAGATACAAATTAAATGCAGATATTAAAAACAAATGCTTATCCACAGCACTTCTGTAGGAGGTTTCATATTGATTTTCTTTCTAGCCAAATGGACTCTTTCACTTTACAAAAACCATGGTTTATGATAGCTGTCCCGGGGATATTAACACAATGCAAAATCGAACAGTATGCTGGCAGGCAGCGAGTCAAGGGAGACACTTAAAATAATAATAGGAGCAAAAAAAAAAAAGGTATTTAGATGGGAGAAGGGGAAACCAAACGTCCGCCAAAAATGGCCATGATCTTGGAAAAACATCCTCCCCCTCTATTACCTCCAGAATCATGTCTCCCAGCATCAGCCCACCAGTACTCTTTGCAGGACTATCATCCTCCAGGCTCTCCACAAAGATGCCATACAAGTTCCCCCCGCAGATCTGGATCCCCAGCTCCACCTGGGATTTCTTGATGGTGACAGTGCGCGGTTCCGGAATTTGCTTCGAAGCGTCAATTGGCATCCTGCAGCAGACAGCCCAAAGAGTCCAGGTCTCGAAATAAATAACTTCACAGGTGTTCAAAAGATGAAACATACTTCTAGAACTTGCTGTAAATCTGGAAGCCATTTCCGAACCACAAATAAGATCATATGGGAAAAAAAATGTCAGAAGTATTAACCTTGTTAAAAGAATGTGATGGGTTGTCCAATTTTAAAAATCAAAGTCACTTAGTGGGTAAACTTTAACTGTGTAGAATTGTATAGAATACTGTTTTGAACACCTCCAGACACAAAGTAAGCAAGTTGAAAGCGCAGCGGCTGACCTGAAGGAGTTTCGAGGGCTGGTGGTGGGGGTGGTTTGCTTCGATGGAGGGGTCATGGTGCCTTCATCCTGTTCACTCAGTGTGTCAATGGTGGAATGATTGTCGGGGGTTGTCGTGCCACTGCCTTGGGGATTGGACTGATTACCTATTGGCTCCAGCCGAGAACTGTCAAGGAATTGGAGAAAGGACCAGTCAGCATTGAAAATAACCCAGCTTACCTCAGTTACAACACTGTGACGCATCTCAGGCTTTTAAACATACCACACAGTCTCAGAGAGTGATTTTAACCAATGCCAACATCATGCACTAACGGCCGAGCTGTAGAAAATCACTGAAGTAATTTTTCTTCTTATCTTTAACTGTCTCTAGAGTTCAATGGCACCTCAGCCAGTTCATCATAGCTGCTGCTTTACAGAATTCTAGCTATCTTCTCACACTACCTAGCACACCGCCCTTCACGGGGGAGTGAGATATAAAGACCCCCAAAGCCTATGATTTCATAAAGCACTGTACACGGGCAATAAATAAGCGAAAGAGTGCAATAAAACACTTTCAAGCCCTGAAAGCTTTGACAGCAGATAATCAACAATTGTTTTTGAATGCGGTCTTCGAAAAATCCCAACATGCGCGGTGTATTAAAAAGCTGTAGAAGTATACGATATATCAGTAACCTTGATCGTGAATGGTTGCCCAGCTGGTACATGTGAGGGTTGTACTGTGCCAAGATGGTGATGGTATCGCACTGCTGCCCGATGATCAATCGCGCCTGCTGCTCTGTGGCATTTCTGAGGTTAATCCCATTGTACTGTGGGGCAACAAAAACAAGGTTACAGGAAATAGTACGGCCGTAAATCCTGCAGCACGGCTCTGAAAACACAAATGGGAAAAAAAAATACCTCCAGCAGCTGATCCCCGTACTCCAGCCCTGCCTGGTGGGCGATGCTTCCTCCCGTCACTTTAGACACGAAAATGCCCCCGTTCTCCCCGCTCACGATGGAGATCCCAAGAGGCTCTGCGCCTTTGTGCACAACCACATTCCGCGGCTCCTCCAGGTAAGGCCTTGGGGGAGCAAGACCACAAAATGGGCTTTTGCTCCAGGGTACAGCCGCACTTCAGACTCCGTGTACACAGTCCAACATACACACATCAATGCACATTTCCATGCAAGTATAGAAAGAGTGGCGCAGTTATTATGAAAGACTCCTTTTAATGTTTTTGAACAAATCCAAACCTGATCAAATAAAATTAGCAGACAAAACAAATTCGGAAAACAGAGGATTAAGACAGTCCAAATGTTTAGACGAAGTTTTCATATGAGCATCAACCTTCTGTCTATACAGATGGGATCTTTAAAGGGGGAACATTCATTTCAGCTACAGTAATTGATGCAACATGCAGTCATTCAAGAGATCCATGCCACCCACCCCAACAGCACCAAAACAAGTAACACCCCCCGCAGATCACTGTAAACAAGGCCTGTTCACAGGAGGCAAATTCAGGAAAAAGACAAAAACCTACAGGCCACTTAAACAAAGGAAATTAAAAGGTGTTAAACGTTTTTGGAATTGAATAAAAAGGGGGACATCTGAAACAAAAGGGCATGTCCCAAATTTCCCCTAAAACACCTTTAAAACTTGTGTAAAGTTCTCTGAAGCAGAATTGAATGGATTTAAACTTTAATCATAAAAAACAAGAACAGAAAGCTATTTTTTCCTAACTGCTGCTGGGCCTAGTAAATATTTCAAGATAGTCTTGTGAGTAAGATCTCATCTAATCTGCATCAGTCTGGATCTTCAGGGACACTCATGCAACAAGGAATTCGCATGCACATTTTCATCTGGTTGATCAAATTCATTGTTACCCACTGAGAAACATACATAAGAGTACATAAGCCTACCAGTTACCGCACTGGCTATTTTACTTCACAAACTGCCCCCTTCCTAAACAACCTGTAGTCTTTTCTGGGACATGCCCTTCATGCGACTTGCAAAGAACAAACCTCAAGCTTCTTAAGGATGAGAACCTTGGCCTAGGAGCCACAGGGATTCTCAGAAAGGATCTGTTACGGAACAGATATCTGAAAGATTCGGAAGAGTGAAGAAAAGGGAATGAAACCGAGAGTCTAAGCAAAGAACGAGCAGAACTAGAGAGAAAAAGGGTGCAAGAAAAACAAAAGACAACTTTTTATTGAAATCAAACTGCCCCGTCAGGGCACTGTTCCACAGTGGTGTACAAGGAGAAAACTCTAGAAACGGGAATAAACTGAGTCGAGCAGCACCTTGTTGAATACAAGCTCTACATTTTTGGTATTTAAACACATACTTACCCCAAAATAAGCTGCACACTTGCTCAATGTAGGGCAATTATTTAAAACTAATACAGTAGTGTGTAATGTGAAGAAAATAGTGTGGTTTATGATGGTAAATATCTCAGTTTAAAACATCTAGATTTGATGTGAGCTTAAACAATGCTGAATATTAAAATAAATTCCCCAGCTTTCTTCACTGACGTTGAGAAAACAGGCAAAACATGGCAACATCTTAAATGAGGTCATCATCAACCCTGCAGGCAAATGCATTCCTACCTGTCCTTCCTGCGCTCCCCCATCGGAACAGGGCTCACGGATATTCTGGGCAGGGTGGCAATGGAGCTCTGAGACTGGCTGCTGGCGAAGGAGGAAGTCTCCAGATTGAGTGGAGACTGAGGAGGAGTGATCAGACTGGGACTGCTGCATTCGGAGTGGGAGAGCGACCCTGCAAAAACCGCATGGGACGCGTTTACTACGAAAACTTTAAATGATTAAGGTCTGCCTATTCGCATACTTCCTCCGGAGGCAGGACACAAGTGGGCCCATTTAAAATAACCTGCACTATTAAAAGGTAGCAAAACACTTGTAGAGAGTACCTTATACTCCCTATTCAATTAAAAAAGGTATTTTTCACTATTTAAATTGCAAACTGTGACTTCCATTGTATTTGAGCTTTTTTTAGTAGCAAAGAAATGCTCTAACTAGATGCTTGGCTTAGTCATTTCCCCAGCTGAGTAAAGAAATATTCAAAGTCCATAAGAAAAATTGTAAATACCATGAATGACAAAGATGTACCATTCCCCTCATAATGCACACTGTGATACTCATTCTTCTTTCATACCACGGAACAGGTGCACAATCACTAAATGAGTCTGCCAATTTCAACTAGCCGCTTCAGACACGTACCTCTGTCAGAACCGAGCATGGAGCGAGGATATCGTGGTGTGGAAGGTATTTTAATCCGCTCAGTCCTGTATTGTAAAGTGCTGGATGAACCTACTTATGTCAAAAGTTGGGATGGGGGGGGGGGAGAAAAAATGTTTTAATTTTTGCTTCTGACAGGCTGTTAAAAATGAAATTCATAATCCACACTACCTTCAGGTTACAGTATAGCCCTCTCACAAGGGACAGCAGAAAACATTCAGTACAACAGACACACAAGCAACAACTTTGACTGAAGAAACAAAACAGCAGCAACAAGAAGTGGTTGTGTTTAAGTCTTAAGTTTTATAAAGTCCCTTTCAGAATAAAAACAAAAGGCAAAATGTGAGCGAATTTCAGCAACTTCAGCGAGACACTAAAATTGCTCCACTGACCTAATCGAGCACTTGACGGCAGGGAGTTAGTTCCATGTGGCGTTCGACTACGAGAGGACTCGGGTACATCGCTGGTGCGTTTGTGGCTAAGGTCCAAGCTCAGACGACCCTGATGTTGTGGACTAGATTTCACACAAAATACAGACAGAATCCTTTACTCATACATTTCACGAATAGTTTAAACTACCAGACAATGGATTTTACTTTACTTACAGCAGCTGTTTAAGCCCTGTGCTTCTCGGCTATTAACAGAAATAAAAAGATTCACCCGAGAAATGTTGCAAGCTCACATGAGCTGGAAATAGCTTTCATACCACCTTCACTATTTAACTTGGTCTTCATGGGGGAGTGTTCAAAGCACTGAAACTTTTGGCATGCAAGTCTTGAAATAATGACGCGCATTACTGAAGGCCAAAATAAAATGAGAAATACAGTAAGAGATGCAATATAATAGTTATTGTTGAAATTTAGCTGGAGAAGAAAACTGATGTTTAAAAAACTGACTGTTCAACCTTTCAGAAAAAAAATAATGAGCAGGAATAAAGCCAACCCCCCAAAAAAAACAGTCTGAGTCTGCCAGCCTTAAAGAATGACACATGAGCAACAGGACTGTCTTGGGGGGGTTTGAGAACCTTGAGTACCTGGGATGTGAATGCTGATGGCAGATTTGGCTGGCGACAGAAGGGCAGTTATTAGTATGAACACGGTGACTCCAGGCTGTGTAAATTGGATTTCTCATGACAGCAGTCACTGCTGGGCAGGGTGCCAAACCTCTGTGTGTGGAGTCTGCATAAAGATGAAACGATAAGACCTTACAAGCCATGTGCTCATAACACGTTCAAATACAAATCCAGAATGAAATCTTACATATAACTTCATATCACCTCCCACCAACCAGAGCGCTACTTCTACCCTCAGCTGCAGATGGTGATACTGAAACAAACACTGTGCACAATGATTCTGCGTCATTAAAAGCACCTGGAATTGCTATCTTCGCATTGAAAAAAAACGAATCCAATAAATCACAATGCAAGTTCCACGTGGACAACGAATATGAAGATTTACGGTATGCAGAGATCTAATTCAAGAGGTCTGCTGCATGGGACAAGGACTGCTCCACACTGATGACTCAACAGTGCCTTTAGAAATCAAGGTATTGGCCATGATAATCTAATGTTTTTCACCTCAAGATTTCCTGCTAAGTGGAACATTCACCTTTCCTTCATGCCCATCATCTGTTTAAGCTTAATTTGCTGCGCTATCTCTACATTTCAGTAGACGGGTAAATCTACATACAATCAGGTGGCAAGGTGGTGAGATGTGATGGCAGGCGACATGCAGAGAAACAATGTCATGTTGTCAAGCCCTGAAACGTGTGCCATGATGGCTGAAGCCAGTTTCAGCAATAGATGAAAACAGTCTGGGAGCATCTAAAAGATTACATCATATCGCCAGTGCAGTGATGGCGCATCAGGCAATAAATTCCAGGTATGGAATCCTTTCATATTCCCTTTCCAACAACAAAAAGGTAAAACCATAGCCCAGAGGCTGATTCACAATATGACAATCCAAGTTGTCACCATGAGATAAGTCATTTCTCTCTTTCCAGAAATACCAGGTTCTAGCTGTAGCATGAAATATTTAGCAGCAGGTAACTCTCTAGTGCAGCACAAGTAGGTCAGGCTCATACAGTTGAGACTTATGCCTGTCTTTCTATTAGATGAGAGGGGAAGCCTTTAGAAAACAGGTTTTGATGAGTTCTTCAATGAGACAATACTTGTGATGTTAACTATACATTTAAGCAAAACATTCAGTTTAAGAAACAATTAGAATTGAGCGTTGCTTAAGTGTTCATATTGCTTAATTTTGCAGGAAGACTGAAAAAAAAAACAAACAGGAGCCAGCAGATATGTCGTTATAGTATAAGTAAACAGAAGTCTTGTCATGAAGGTGCTGCTGTAAACAGACACCCATGGCACTGCAAAGCTTGCACTTAACGTGGACAGAAATCTGCATTACACATGAAATAGGACAGGTCCCTTTGCATTTAATGATCTTCTTTAGTAACTCCATGTGGATTAAAACACATGTATATTAGTAATTTTGTGCAAGATACAAGTGCAAGTCTTACATATATGCTGTATAAATACACATGACAGGGAGACATCTTTTGCAGTACTCTGATTGGGAAACAAGTGGGATGTGAATAAAAATCAAAAGCAAATCTTGGTAGAACACAGTATTTGAGAGTTTTAACTTTTTTGTGGTGAAAGTTCCAATGTCTTCCATCAGAAATACATGAAAGAATGCTTTGTACCCAGAATTAAGTTTGATTACATTTTTAACATGTAACTCACTTGCTGCCATTGCCCCATTGTAGACAACTGGCACAAATCCCACACTGTGCCTATGTGAGCGTTTTGGGGAGTATCGCACCAGTTCATGGGGATCAGGAGACTGCGGTTCTTCACTGGAATAACTCTGCACCTTTCCAAACACACAAGAGCTCATTTTAGAACTCCCTTAAATGGTTACATGTAACACGAAACGCATAATAGAGGAAAACACAATCATGCATTTCCAAAATCTACAAATACAAACAGTACCAAACCAACACTTCTCCTTGATGAACACGTAGTTAATCATCATAGTTTAAAAACTGTTCCTGGACTGGCATTGCTTTTGGAGGCAACTGATGCTCCCCAGGTGAGCAAACATTTATATTATATATCGTTGCCCCCTCCATAAAGGATGTGCAGATTGACGCGGTTGTTGCAGGAAATGAAAAGATAGTATTATACAAATTCTCAGAATATGACAGTATAACTATCGCATCCAGCTCAGTTGTGGATTACCTGGAGTGTTGGGACAGGAACAGGCAAAGGGGTCATTTTATGCCTTAGTGCAGGGGCTGATTTTGGCCTGGGTCTCTTCACCTCAGGCTCCTCAGCCCTCTGCCGGCCAACATCGTCGTCACAGGACTTCCTGGAAGTCAGGGCCTTGCCTTCCGCTGTGCTCTCCACGAAGTAATGATTGCCATTCCGGTCACGGCCCTCCAGGACAGCTTCTGCTTTCGTCCCCAGGGTAACGGGGGACTGTGCAGGGCTTGCGGCTGGCGACCCGGTGGTGATGGTGGAGTCAGAAGCGGAGCTCGTCTGCTGCTTGTGTTTGAACTTGAAGGAGTCGCTCCGGGTGGGGGGAGTTGGTGGTGTCTGCATCACCTCCACCTTCGAAGCCTGTGGGGAATGTGCTGGCAGCTGGGCGGGAGACAAGTAGTTCATGGCTGACGGGGCCTCTGGCCTTTTAAAAGTGTCAGTGTCAAATATAGATTTCCTCGATTTTGGCGTCTTGAATATGGAGAGTTGGGCGTTTTCCGAAGCCGAGACATCAACCATCATTTTTGGCCAGGTGCCGCCGCTGTGCTTTAGGCGAAGCCCCTTCTCCAATGTGGTTTCCATCATAATGCAGTCGGCAGCCGCGGGGTCAAAGGTGAATCCACGTTTCTCCAAGTTGACCATCCCAAAGCAGCGGTCTGGGAAGATGTCAGCACTGAAGGGCCCCGGGCTGTGCTCCACGGTCCGCTGAGAGCCCGTGTGCAGAGAGCCAGTGGAAAACGGTTTCTGACTGCAAAAAGAGCCGTCCTCCGAGTCGCTCCGGTCCTTCTTCCCTTCCACACCCTCTGGGTTGAAAATGTCCGTTTGGGTTGAGCTGTTATGTTTCAAGTTTCTGCTATTCCGCACATGCAGCTCAGATGAGTGAACCCTGCAATTGGAGGTTTTCTCCAAGTCTCTTAGGTTTTCAAATATGTTCTGTCCAGAGGAACTCTGTGGGAAGAACTAGATAAAAAACTGAAGTGGTCAAGCTTACAAAAAGCATTTCTTAAAAGACAAAACATCTTTCCTGACTAATAAAGTAGGATAAAAAGGATGGCAGACATTATGCAGACATGAAATTTACTCTTCCTTTATTCTATGAGCAATCATTACCAAGACGTGTTGGCCGATATACAGTACATATATTTTTCTCATGGATCATCACTTCCATCTTATTTTCCAAGTTTGTTGAAACATTTAAATATTTAAAATATTATCTATATAGTAAATATAGATACTTCACGTTTCCCTGAAGTGGACTAACCATGTTCCCACTGCTTCACTACATGTGTGAAATGAAGTCATGTTCTATTTTTCAATTCAAACTTGATCGTCTCCTGGGGGAAAGTCCAATACAACAAAAACCACCATCACCAACAAAGAGGTCAGGAGAAACAATATTTCAGGAAATTATGTTACGTTAATGAATGAAACTGTATAGATGGTGAACAATCTCCCAAGTCTATTACCATTACTCCTTGACGTACAGAGGTGTCTTCCACGTGGACGTAATGTAAATTCCAAATATAAACAGCTCACACACAGGCAAGCACAACAACAAAGCTTGACTCACCTGATTCCAGAATCCCAGGTGAAGGTTATCAGCCGACCAAACATGAGGAAGAAGGAAAACGGACATCAGCTCACTGCCGTGAAATTGTATTCAATACAGTGTATTCTGTCTTAATGTGTTCATTCTGTCTTACTGGCCTGTGCAACATTCTCCAATATTATCCATTACTGATTTGTGCTCTCCACCCTTGTCTGATTTGCCTCTGCAATTCATGGTCTAGGCATGGGCTTGTGTGATTTCACTGATCGGTGTTTCAATGACCTGGGGAACTTGGGATTCAGATGGGTGGGTACTGAGTTATTTTTGGACTTGAGGAAGATGCGAACTGCATGTTGCTTTTGTCCACTTGTTTTCCCTTAATAACAGAAGTAAGGTTTCAAACAAGAGGAGGCCATTCAGCCCATCTTGCTCTCTTAGCAGTTAGTACATAACTGATCCCAGAATCTCATCCAGCTGTGTCTTGAAACAAACCAGGGTTCTTCAACATGCCTGCATAGCTTGTTTTACACTCCAATAACCTTTTTTCGAACCATTCCTCCTTTCACCTCAATTCTTATGCGCATATCCAGTTTGTTTTTATTCATTTTGTACTGTTGTTAAAGCCTCACAATATTTTAATGCCATACCCCCAGACATCTGCCTGTTTCTTCCCTTTTGCAACACGTTCTGAGGATCTTCTAGGGAGATGCCTTGTTTGTATATTTCTACGACATCCAAAATTAATATTCAACCATGAGGGAAAATAAATAAGGCAAATGACAAAGCAAACCAAAGTCAGGCTGTATAATATTTTTCCAGTAACTGGATCAGCTACTGATGCTGTACAGCTCTCCTTTCCACTCTGCTCCCTCCCAGTCTTGCCAAAGGCTTAATTCTCAGACCCTTGCATTTGTCCCTGACCACATTATCTTGGGATCCAATTCTAAGTGATTATGAAACAACAGGTTGAACATCATTCACCTTGATGAGCGAAAGACTCAGAGAATCCCTGCAGTTCCGTAGCAAAGCTTCACACTCAGTCAGTGATTTGTTATCTAGTGCAATTCCATTAATCTGGGGGAAAAAAATAGGTCAGCACTGTTGGCAGAACCAAAGCATGATGGGTTTTCATTTCTTCTGCATTAACCACAAAACGTATGCAAGCTAGAGGGAAGAGCCCACAACTATAAAAAATGTTTTGAAAAATACTAAAACTGACATTAGATTAACCATTTTCTCTTAGTGCAAGAAATGTGATTAAATTATACTTCCATGTACAACGCACACTAGATCTCTTTTTAACTGGACCAAATGCCTAATGTAGTTAGTGGAAGTTGAGGTTTCTTGTCTGAACACCTTGTCCTACCCCGGAAATGGGCTGCAACTAAACTGACTAGGACATACACACAATGTATGAGCACATCGCTGCCTGAAAAGGCTAAACCCTCTTGTTTAACCTCTGCCATGCACAGCTCCAAAGCACAAAGGTGGTTAAGTCGTAAGTGAAATGTCAGACTTCAAAGAGTGTATATTCAACACAAACTGTAAGGTAAGGTTAGGCGATTGGCTCAGGACTCACAGCAATGAGTCTGTCTCCAATAGTAAGAGATCCTTCTTTAGCAGCTGCACTTCCAGGTACAACAGCAGCCACAAAAACACCAGCTTCCAAGCCAATTCCACAATCTGCAAATACAGACATTTCTGTATAAACACAAGTATAGACTGAGATTAGGAACGTGATCATATTCATATCATACTCATGAATAAAGAACATTTTTTAAAAGCCTTTGCAAAATAGCTTCTAGCAACAGGAAATGCATCTAAAACATTAACAGAATCACATAGTATTTTGCAAAAAAAAAAGTTTATTAAACTGATAATACAATTTCCTAAGTACAGAATCAAGGAAACAATTTACCTTTGTGTCCAACAAGGTTAATATGTACAGGAGTGACAAGTCTTCCACCCAAAGACTTCCTTCTGCGGACAACCATGTTGATCACTCCTCCTCCAGTCAGCACGGCTTTGATGACCTGCTTCCTGTCCTTGTTAGTAAGGTCTACATCATTAATCTTCAGTAGCCAATCATTCACTCTGAGGACAGAAAGCATATCAAAATCAAAGCCTGATTCTTAAAGGCTCAACTCACTCGCCCGCATATCTACTGTATCTTTTAAACTTGAAAATCTGTTAATTTACCTCAACCTTCCATCTGCAATACTTCCTTTATCCACTCTGGTCACAAATATTCCACAATCTCCAGGCAAGTATGGGTCATTAACCCCTTCTGCTACGTCAAACCCAAGAGCTTTTAAATCCATGTCTTCCTGTTGAACAAACATAGTAGTATAACACAACACACACCAAAGCCACGTGGTGCTGTTACTGAAGTACAAAATGGCACTCAGACGAGAGTGAAAATCGAAGAAAAGTTAAGGGAAAAAAAATTACCCTGTCTTTCTCAAATTCAACCACTTCTGTTTCCCACTCCAAAGAGTCTGTGTCGATTGCTGAATCATGCGAGTTGTGAGCCATTAACTGCCGGAACCGGGCCTCCTTTTCCAACTGGTTCTCCATCTTTTCTCTGAGAAATGCAAATGAAAATGGATTTGCCTAGAAAACCAGACATCTTTGTGTTGTTTGGTGTGGTTACTAAAGGCAGCATCGCAAAATATCAAGAACAGAGTTGAGAACGCTCAAGATTTGGACTGGAATTTTAAAGGACTAACAAATTCTAAATCCACTAGGCACTTTAATTTTTCACTTAAGTCTATTTGTCAGTGTGGTGAATGCATGAACCGAAGACAAATCAACCAGGCATTATAGCATGAGCATATTTAGACGACACATTCTAACTGTTTATAAGCAGTAATCTATTTATTCTTTCTTCAAGAACTGATGAACACCATGTAAGGCAAAATAGAGAGAATCTGCAGAAACGTGACGAGATGCTGATGGCACTGATTAAAATGTTCTACACGATTACACCAGTAGATGGAGCTCAAGGCCACCGCTGATGCTTATCCAGCTATATCATCAACAGTGCCAAGGTCAAAATCTGCTTCCGAGACAAAGGGAAAGAGGGAAGGAACGGCACCAGAGGAAAGCAAAAAAACATATAAGCTGCCATCTTCAGGCTCCGTGGTGTGGTGGGGAGGGGGTATGGCCAATAAAAAAGCACTGCAGAAATCAGTGACCCACTTCAGCTCCTTGAGCTCCCGTAAGGCATCATTCCTCTGCTTCCTCATGTCGTCAAGATTGCGCAGAGCCTCTGCCAGATCGCTCACTGCCCTGTCTCGCTCCCTTCGCAGGTTATCGCACAGCGTCCTGGGCAAGGGAAAGGAAACACAACTTGTCGCTAAGGAGATCCGTCCTGCTTTGTCACATCCCCTTTAGGAAGATTCAGTTCACATCATCACTCAGGAAGATTCAGGTCTTAAGCACTGAAGTCACAAACAAAAATCTGTTGAAGAGCTAGATTTTTAAAAGCCATTAGCAATGGTGTCAGGTGGCATATTGATTTTTGGTAAATTGCCACTGGTGTGCTTTTTATACATGCAGGCCGCCTGATGGCTTATCCTTTATTCCCGAGAACGGACGGGACACTTTGCACCCCCCGTCAGCATTACCGTATGCTCTCTCTTTCCGCTACTATCTTGTCCCTCTCCTGAAAGGCCCAGTCCCTCCGGCACTTGGCCACTTCTGCCTCCTGCACCGCTTCCTTCAGCTCCTGGGTCATGGCCTCGTACTGCTTCCTCAGCATCTCAATCTCTTTGTTAGCTCTCTCCATGTCCAGTGTCGCCGAGTCTTGCTTCTAAGAAGTGGAAACGAAAAGGCAAACACATGGGTGCTTCTGACTACCTGTGGCGAAATAACGTTTCTTAAAGCTTTTCTATCATAAACATGGCTGTCATTACAGCTGGAAGAGAAACTTCAAACCTTTCAGCCTAGTTGAGCGGCAGCACTAGGACAGAAGAAATTACTGAGAAGTTTTCACTGAGAGCCAGTCTTAAGAGATTAATCAGGTTCAACATTTTAACAAACTATTACATGCTCTAACCTCAAACTATAATAATGAAACATTTGCATAAACCACTCATGTAGCCCCGTATATTCAGAAGTAAAAAGATTTCACTGTAAAATCAACAAGCACACATTCTCCTGGAGACCCCCTGTGGAATGATGGAGTCAGTGCTGCTTAAAATGAGGAAGCAAATCTTTTAAAGATTCTTTATAGATCAAGAAGCATTTTACAGCTCAGGAATTCATTCAAAACCTTTACAGTTTGCAACCCAAAACCTGGGGCATGTGATTGACAGTGTCTGTAAGCTGATGCAGATGCAGCAGTGAGGGAAATGTTTGAAAGTTAGACAGCTTGTCCGCTCCAGCTACTGATAGACAGGAACGTCAACAGATAAAAAGGGGGTACTCATAGATAAACCGATTGGAAAGAGTCTTCTGAGGAGGCTGCTGCCAACTCTACTTTTTTACACCAGCAAAACAGATGAATGAGCCAAGGGGAGTGTCCTTCATATTGACAATGTTCAGCAGAACACAGCTGGGTTATGTATGTTATTGGTAGCGGCCTATTCTGGTATTTTCAATGAAAAACTTAATAAACAGAACGTGGTGTTCAATAATAAAGTTTTGTCCACCGCTATGATCTGCCTTTTATGTCAACCAACATCAGAACAAGATTTCGTTTCTGAAGATGGCAATACCCCAGCACGTTTCAGGCTGACTCGCCGAGACGGCAGAGGACGGCTTTTTAAATTAATCCCACCACAGCGTTTTTGGGTGCCAACAGTGGAGAAAGATCTCAGAAAAAAAATTAACCAATAAGAGGCTGCGCTCAAGATGAACAGCACCATCCCTAAAAGTGAACCAGGTTCAGAAGTGACAAGTAAATAAACATTTTATTTTTAACAAATTCTTTTAAATACATTTCTCATTGAAAATACCATGACATTTGTTTATAGAGCACAAGATGACAAGATGAATGGAAAACAATCTCTCTTTGCTGCACTAGGGCAGCCTAGTATGTATGAGGCCTATTCAAATGAGGGGGCACGGAACAACTTTTTGATATTAGATTAGTTTTGCTCTTATTCGGGGGGCTCTAGACTGCAAGAGAGCCACCCTGAGTGCAGGAAGAGCCACACTGGATTCTGAACTGTCTTACTGCTGGGATTCCCCAAGTAGCACAGTAAAACTGGGCACGTTGGGAGGACGATGCTTGTAGTGCGGTGGAGAGGCCAGCTGACTGGACAGCACACAGCTTGGGAGGAGGCCGTGCATGTAAGAAGGGCTGAACGAATTCAACAAAAGCACATTCTCCACCTGTGCGGGATCAGAAAATACCACGGAACTGTTTTCCCCATGAAAAACTAACGAGGATGGACATGATGGATGTGGGGGGGGGGGGAAGATGTTTAATGAGATGTCAGAGTGATCATTTAAGTCACCATAAACATGCCTTTCAAAAGCATTTGAAGGAATGCCCAACCTGTCTAGCCTGATAATACTCTCGCAGGAGCTGGTCTCTCTGGATAATGGCTTCTGTCCTCTCTTTCCTGGCCACGTCTCTCTCTTCCTTCACAGTTTCAATGTCCTTACAGGCTTGATTCAGCTCCTTCTGGGCCTCTGCCTTGTCCTTAACTTCATGGCAGTATTTCTCCAGTAACTCATTTCTCTCACAGATTGCTCGATCGCGATCTACTAATGCGGAATTTAGTTCCTTAAACACAAACAGAACACAATTTTAGCCATGACTGAAGGCCAGAAAACACCTTACAGCGTTAAGGTCTTTGGCAGCTTGTATAGAACACATGGGAAAAGCATCAGTATCAAGAATACAATTTACAAATACAGTGCAAGATTAAGAAACTATGGTACCAGTTCAAGTACAATCACTGTGGATGCCCATTACAGAAGGCCATATTTTAAAGAAAATGTAAACATGCCAATGCAAAATGAAATCAAATCTGGGCTTTCTATTGAGTTCACTAAGTGTAAAGGTGTCCATGTGCAATGGCCCTCTTACTTGTCGAAGTGCTTCCATCTCTTCGCTGGCCACTTTCCTCTCCGAGGACGTGTTCTTGAGCTTGGCTTCTGCGACCTCCAGCTCTGTCTGGAGCTTGTCCACCTCCTTGATGACCTGGTCCCTCTCGCTCATGATCAGGCGGTACTCGCTGAACACCGAGTCCCGCTCCTCCTTGTACTTCTCACAGTCCTTCGCCGCCTTCAGCTGCAGCGTCTTGAAGCGCGTCGCCTCCGACTGCAGCCGCTCCACTTCCCTTTGCAGCTCTTTATTCTGGGCGGCCGCCTTGCTCAGCTCCTGCTGGATCGCCTCAAACCTGGAGGGGGGGAGAAGGGTTTAGAGCAGGGAGCTGTGCCCTGCGGCCGGGCCAGGGCGTACCTGAGCAGGGCTCTGCTGCCAAACTGGCAGGGAGGTGGGGTTACTGCAGACTAATCTGGTCCGCCAAAGCATTCCACCACTCACTCCCAGATACGCATTGACGTCTATGCCGTCCAGCAGCCATATCATCCAGCAACTCACAACTGGCAACCCACTGAAGCTAAGCAGGTGTGAGCCCGGTCAGTTCCTGGACGGGAGACCTCCTGGGAAAAACTAAGGCTGCTGCTGGAAGAGGTGTTAGTGGGGCCAACAGGGGGCGCTCACCCTGTGGTCCATGTGGGTCCTAATGCCCCAGTATAGTGACG